GGAGCACACGGTAGCCAGCGTCATCAAGATTTGTCACAAATCAAGGCGGGCAGGCAACTAATCCAGTTCAAGTGCCGGCTCCGACACAGCGAAAATGGCAAATTGCCGTCGCGCTTTGGAGTTGGGAACTACTAGGAGCTTGGCCAGCGTTGGCGTTGCCTGCAGCATCCATCGCGGCATTCATCTCCAGATGTGGCACTCTGCAGTCGTGCTCTCTGGGCAGCTTCCGCATGCCGACGACGACGACGACAAGTGACTCACTGGCGGTCACCAAAGAAGCTAAGCTCCGCACAGACCCCGTTATGTTTGCCAATCGTGAGCTTTATTAATCTCGAAAGCAAACCCCTCCAATTTGGCCTCTGAAGATGGGGCTGAAAATGCCACAAGGTCGATCAAAGCGGAGGTCGATTTCAAAATTTGCCTAGGGTCGATGATTTGCATCGAATGAGATCGCAGGCAGCTCGGTGAGAAATGCAGGTCTTCTGGCATTTGGTGTTTTCAATTATGAAAGGAGAGCTTAAAAAATAAAAAAAATTATTTTAGCACTGTCTATCTAGCATGGCTGCCATTCCAGCTTTGCTTTGCACAAAAATCATTCTGTGAGTGAGGAGAATTACAAAATACTTCAAAATGTAATTTTGTCGATATTTTCGATGTTTTTGCATGCCTAAATCGATTTAAAATTAATTAAAAACGACGGGCTACCAACTTTAAGTTTTAAATTTCAAAGGCAAGTCAAAAAAATGTTCATAAAATTACCAAAAATATTTTCAATATTTCATTTTATCGATATTTTCGATATATTTGTAAGCAAGACTCGATTATATATCGATTCCCAAAATCTCTACTTTCGACAACAAACATTTTGTCCCTGTGCAAGAACTATCTTTCGAAATAATAACCAATTTCTAACACTTTCTGTGATTGCCGGACAAAATGACCGGACACCAAGTGGCTAGCTGATGCAATTGCAAGGTCGCCACATTCCTAGAGGGAGGCCAACTGCAAATTGGCAGTACTCACGGTTCAAGCCACAACAATTTGGCCCGACAATTGGCCACAACTATGCGCGATAGATGGGCCCATAATCACACACGTGTGGAGGGCAGAAGCAGCAACACGCCAATAGATTTATGTTGGATGACAGAACAGAATAGAGGAAATAAAAATAAAATAACAAACAAGAAATAAGAATGCAATTTGCAATTGCTGCTGATGCTGCTGCTGCTGCTGCTGCTTGGAACCGTTAAATGTGTGGCACTGGCGAATCGAAGATCGCAGAAACCAAATTAACACAAAGCCAGGCAACAGACATCGCGGCAATTGCAATTGCAATCGAAGAAGTGTAATGCGATAAGCTCCGGGATAGGAATGGGGATCGGATCGGTATTGGAAATGGGGATCAGAATGGGCATGGATCGGTTGGGGGAATGGTGGAAGCATATCCCAGATGGACGCGTGAGGTTGGGGTCATCCATGGACCAGGATCGGGAGACTGGAATAGAGGGGACTTGTGTGCTAAATGTCAATTTGATACCGGGGCCAGAATCCAATTAAAGCCGCAGCACAGTTGCAGAATTCGCATCTTTCGGCTTTGCAAATTGCAAATTGCCATCGATCTCTGGCTGAGATCTGGTCGATGGGTCGCCAGTCGTTAGATGCGTGCGCCAAAGTGTATTTGTGGGTCATGGTACAAATCTAGCCGAGAGACAGGGAAGAGTCCGAGACGGGGACACGACAGCCGACACAAGATAGCTCTCTGACAAGAGACACCTTTTGATATGCTAACGAAGGCTTTCCTCCATGGGTTTTCCCTCGTTCCCTTGCTTTCCTCCGCGTTTTCTCGTGCGCCGACTGTCAAAATGCTGCCCATGGCTGACTTGCTCGCTGACTGGGCCTGAAATTTTCCCACCCTCCATTGAGGCCTTGTGTCTGCCTTGGTAAAATGTAAATTTTCCTTGGCTGCCACACATTTATATTAGAGCTGGAGCTGGAGCTAGAGCTGAAGCTGAAACTGCAGCTGTGTGGATATGAGAAATGGGAAACGGGAACAAGAAACTGGCAACTTGGGAGCTCTCCACGCATGCTCACAATGAATGCTTCCCGAAATAGAATATAGAATACAGCTGCTCCCCCTGGGAACACTGTCCACGGACAGTCCACCCTTCGGAGGAGGATCAGGAAAGCCTCATAACGCATAATAACCATTGTTGGCAATGAAGATGCATTGCCTTGGCCGAAAAAAAAAATCTTGCAAATTTCCCATGACCGATATTGCCGCCCCGTGGCCAAGTTGGCCAAGTTTAACAAGCGCCTGCCTCGTTTTGGGTAAAAGTTTCTATACCCGAGTGGCTGACTTTTGGCCACTTCATTCACAAATCCAAAATGGGGTCACACACTACACACTCGCATGTGGCAGATAGCAGCAGCTGGCTGGTGGCCACCCCTTTATTTGGTCTTAACCCAAATACTGAATGCTGCAGAAATGAGAAAGAATAAAAATTGTTTACCATTTAGCCATTTGGCCAAAGAGTGGAAGCAGGGGCAGCATTAACTACAACAAACAGCGGAATAATTACCGCAACAAGTTGCTGTTGCCAGTTGCTCGTTGGCAGCAGCAACATGTTGCTCGTGTGTTGCTAATAGCTTTAGAACAAGTGCCATTTTGGCCGGCAACTAATAGCCAGTTTGTGTCGCTTCCGTTGTCAGTCAGTTGGACTCGCCATCAGCCTTAGCATCGGCATCGGCATCGGTCCCATCATCATCATCATCATCATCATCATCATCATCATCTTCATTGCGGCCGTGTGAGATTATCATTATTGTTATTGTCGCTCGTCATGTCAACTCGTCATCAACAAGCAGACGACGTAGCTACTGGAGGCTCAAGCCAGCATCAGCAGAATTTTTCACTGAGAAAAAGAAAGAGTTGCAAGAAGATCTAATCATTAACAGGAGATATAGCAAGGAGTTTACAAAAAACCCTTATTTTATACCTGAAAATTATAAGATTATAAACAACTTTTAAATATCTTAAAGAAATAATTTTTAATGATAATAAAAAACAACTTTTTACTGAAAACTTTCTCTCAGTGCTGCAGAATCTCCAGCTGCTAGCAATCTCTCAACTTGACCGAGGCGGCTTCGTGTGTTGCATACTTCTCGTTATTGTTGCTGTTGCCACGGCACGCAGCAATGCCATTTGTGACTCCTGGGGCCACCACCTCTTTCTCCTGCCCTCCATGGTGCTCCTCGCCCCTTTGGCCGCCGCCTGCCTGCATTTTAATGAGCACAATTCGCGCATTTATGATGAACTCTCCATCCTCAGCCTCAGAGCCTGAGCCAAGCATTAGCCGATTTTTATTTGCTTGTTTCGTTAGCGTTGATGCTGCCCGGAGGGGAAGGCGTCTCAGGAATAAGGGGGGAGTGTAACCGAAACCACTCGGATTTCAGGAGAATTGCGGAAGGGGATACGGATGTCAGAGCCCCCACACAGAGGCCGATCCAGATGGTATGTCAAAGTGACAGGTTAGGGTACAGTGGGACTTGAAGAATCATAATCATTAAGGGATTATTTATGGAGAAAATTTAGAGGCATGAGGAAGTATTTCCACAGATTCCAGAAACTAACCTCAATTGATTTTACAACCCAAAAAATGTTGAGGAAAATCCCTAGAATTTGTAGTAACAAGCCAAATAAATACTAAAATTTCCTGTTATGAAGTCCAAATTTATTAAACCCCTAAATACCATTAAAATCCCTCATATATTTAGCGTAAAATTCAGCTAAAACCCATAGATTTCCCCTTGAAATCCCAGCCAATACTCCAATATTTCCTTACACTTTTTTTGGGTGGCAATCCCAGCATTAATTTTCCCGGGCCCATTGTGCTTAGGTGGAAGTTTTATTGCTTTATGGAATGTATAAAATTGGATATCATACCCACCAGACACGCCCCCAAATACAAGCAAATCCCCCCTAAAGTCTCACCCCTCGTCAGAGCACTCAGCATCCCTCACCTTCCTTTCTGGTTCCGGAGAGCAACCCCTCGATGGAATCACGTGTTGCATCTCCTGGGACTTGATTAAAGTAACATAAAGCAAATAAAAGCCGACAAGCAAACTGGGCTAATAAATGAAAATATGAAGCGTATGTGTCGCGCCGATGTGGATGCCATTCGATGCCATTAACCCATAGATGGTGACGACAATAAACCCGGCGGAGTTAGTTGGCAGTTGTCCGGCGATAAGCCGTGATATGTGGCGGTTGCCGCCTGCTAATTATAACGATGGGACCAACTCCAGGGGAGGTCCACGACGAAGTCGAAGTCCAAGTTTGAGTCCTTAGAGTTGGGGTGGCCTAAGGTTGTCCAATTTCTGGAAGTTTTTCCTTGCGTGCGCCTGACATTTTCAATCAGCGGCACAGGATTCTTGGCAGGATACTTTCGGGCGAGATACAGATACATATACAGCTACAGATCCTGGGCATTTCTGACCTCTGGCAGAGGGTTGGGGGTGGCTGCGAGGATGTCAGGGAAAATTGCACATCTGTCAAATCGGCAAACAAGTGATTTCCGCAAACAATTGAAGAAAAACAGCCAGTCAGGATGGGGTGGGAGGTGGGAGGGTGCCCACTAGTGTCCATGGTGGTGGTTGTGCCCTGGCTCACATGTCAATGCTCCCATCCGCCCGAAAAATATCTCCGCTGTTTGTGCACGTAAATTGCTTTTGTGTAAAGGCCATTGAAAATTTTGAGAGAAAAAAATAAAACGAACTAAGAAAGGAAGAAAATAAATTGAGATGCGAGGGGTTTGAGGGGGGACGGCATGCGCCTTGTCATGCTTTTTTAATGAAGTGCCCGTCGTTTAAGGAACATATTGCCATCGTCGCCCCCGATTTGATTGTTGTTTAAGGGTTAAACGGCCTGTCCGCAAGAATGTCAGAGATCTCTTTGTTATCACGTACGATTACTAAGCCTCCTTTTCTCTCCTTCTTTGCAGTTACAACCACAAGATGACAAGGAGACGTTCGAGTCCACCGGGACTCGAGGAGCTGCTGTATCTGGCGCTCGTCCTGCTGGCCATGGCCCTGATACCCACACAAGCCGGTAAGTGGTTTATTATGTCAACATAAATTATGTTTAGCCAGGCTAAGTACCACGCATCTGCCGAACTCTATTCTGTCTGTATTCCCTGTCTATTTTGATTATTTCGCCATAAATTGCCGAAGAATCCGGGGCTAATTAAAGCCATTGTGACAAATTGCCATCAGCTGGCCACAGCTGCCGTTTTGCAGTGCGAAATTCACTTGTCCAGGGTCAGGGGTCAGTCTGGGCGACAGTCTGTTGCATTTTGGGTGCGAAATTTAATTAGCAAGGCACTGAAAATAATTTTCTCTCCTCTAGCAGGGTCTATACCTTGGTATCCTTCAATCTGATCTTCTAAATTCTCATGAGATTTTCTTAGAAATATTATTTATACCAAGAATATATGTTTGCTATTATTTTATCTATTTTAATTTCCAATTTAACACATTTTTTCTCTGTGTTCCTCTTCGGGGGTGTCCCAAATTCAATTGTGCCACGAGTTTCCATTTAAATGGAAATCGAGTGGAACCAAGAGGGACTCAGACCGAAACTTGGACTGGGACTATTACTGGAGATGGGTCATAATTAAAAGCAAGTGCTAATGGCCTCGGACATCATTACCACCGTAGCCGGGCTATCCATTTAGATGCATCTGCATCATCTGCCCAAATGTGTTAACTTTCACATTTACCCATTCGGCTGCACTGGGTATCTTTTTGGGTTTTCCGTCTTTACTACTGGGTCGTCTTTGGGCGTGTTCAATTTAACGACTTGTTTAAACAGAACTTAGAGCCAAATAAACCCAAAAAAAAGGAGAGAGAGAGAAGAATATCGGTCAACGAATGCCAAAACCGAAGCGTAGTTAATGCCACTCGAAGGCAGTACCCACCAATCATTCGGTCCATAACCGGAGAAGGCCCAGAGCCCGTCGTCCAGAGCCATTGTTTAATGGGCTTTCAATAAATAGGCAACAACTGAAGCTCCAGCTTCAGCCACAGCTCCATTCCCAGCTCCATCTCCATCTCTGCAAGCCGTGTCTCTTCGGCTCTGACTGATTTGGCCTAGTCAAAACGATAGGCGACAATAGTCAGCTCGTTGACCCACATTCATGGTACTCCAGCTCGAAGCCAGCTCTCCACCACGCTGCCTGCATTCAGAATTCTCGGAATTTTCATTAACACATGTCCGAGGCACATATGGAAATGGGCCTCTGACAAAGAGAGGGAAATAAAGTGGAAAGAATTTTGTGAATGGGCAGCCCAAGAAAGTAGAGAGGCCAGAGGAGTTGGAGGCGCAGAACCCATATGGTGTTTTAAGCATAGATTCCGGAAAGCCCCGCCAGGGCTTCTCACCTATTTATTGATTATTACACACAGCCACAAATCGGTTACACTAACAAGCCATGGCAACAAAACGGCCTAATGGAGCCCCAGAGAAGTTTGATGAACTCCGCAGCCACAGAGTTTCCCAGCAGGGCCTGGTAATTGAATTGTTCCATTATAATATGGGCATGACTCAACAGATACTCCACTCCTCGCCAGTTCTAACTCCATCGAAGCCACCGACAGCTGCGAGCTATAAATCAATGGGACTAGCGCGAATGTCAGCCGGGGATCGGCTTACCAGAGTGTGGAGTGAGTGCGAGAGTGTATCTACGAGATACACGCACTTCACAACAAGTAGCATTTGCGTCATAACAAAGGCCCCAGCAATCGATGGATCGTTCGATCGATCGATCGATGGATTCGGATCCATGCCAATTGTTTGCCCAGCATTCGAGGCATCCCCATCGCGTCGAGGGTCTCTGCAATTTCAATCTCTCAAGCTCAAGCTCAAGCTCAAGCTCAAGGTCGGCGGAACGAGCATCTTCCATCAACATCCAGTAGCCGCCACACATTATCATTACCATGAAAGAAGCGAACATGGCAATTTTCGAACTCCGTGCCGATGGATGGGGCGTTTTCATCAATCAGCCTCCCTCCTCTGCGAACTTGTTTTTCTCAGGCTTATTATAGATATTGTGTACACCTGCTCACGGGGGTCTTCCAGGTCTTCCTGCTCCCTGTCCCATTGACACCTACAACCACTACTATGTACCTACAGGCATGGTCACTGAACCTTGTCCAGTTCCAGTCTCTGCTATCCGCAATAATATTCCCCACTCAAATGTGCTTTGCCAGTTTTTGTGACTTCTTAATTTATAACCAATTACAAAGGCATTAGTGCTCCTCACGAAGATCTTCAATATTTTTGTTTATTGCGCATATAAATTGCCGCTTTACGGGCCACGGCTTTATGGCACTTTTGCGGAAGCATCTCTAACTCTGTGCCCAGGTCCGGGCCTCCGCAAAGCGATGATGATGCTCGCCGATGTGCCTAATTAGCTTGTATTATCGATGCGATGCCATGGGATGCTATGCGAGGCTGTTTGTGTGCGTGTCAAGAGAACTTTTAGCCCAGGCTCCAAGAACAGCAATAGTGGAGAACACGGTGAGAAAATGCGATGGGAATGTAAACAGGATTAATATAAAAATAAATTAAATATGTAAAGTATTAGAAGGGTTCTCAAATAGAAATTATAAAACCAGACATCCTTCATATGTGATTGGTATTTTTGTTGAATGATCAACATCTTTGGTATATCAGCGATATTTCTGATATTTGATAGATATATTCGATAAATGTTAATTAATATTTTGTTGATATATTCTTTATATTTTCATTACCTATAAAAATATTCATTATATACATTTCCCAGTTTAAACCTCGTAAAAAATATTAAATTCCTTTTCCCTCTAGAACCATCTTCATTTATTTCTCTCAGTGCATTCAGGTACTCATCATTATGGTATGATATTAATTGCATGGCTCGCTGATGTCATCAGCAGCGTCATCAGGCCCTGGGCAGAAGCGTTAATCAAGATTCAGACGCGTCCAGTCATCCGCTTAGCCACGCGCATATAATTAACTTGCTGCCACACGGACCAGGTTCAATGTCAAGTGGCAAGGCGGATTTGGCTCTATGGCTCTCTGGCTTACTGGCTTATCGCGTTGATAGCACCAACGGTACTCCGCCTCCTGGTGCTGCCCCGCCTCTTTCTCCTCCTCCACCTCCTCGTAAATATTTCATATATGCAAACACCAGCGGGGCTGTTTGCTGGGCAAACAGAACTGGCCAGAGTCGCTGACCATTGACCAATATGGCCAAGAAGGCGATGATGGCGATGCCGAAGATGTGTGTTGGCTGCGTGGCTGTGGAATTTCGAAGCCACTTAGAGAACAAGTACGCGAGCCGGAGATCACGAACTTGCGGGTTGGCCCGCACGAATGTGGCCAGAACGGGTCTGTGGTCACCGTCTGGGATGCTCGATCCCCGATCTTCAGCGATCTCTAGTGCTCCCGTGAGATTCGCCAATGGGGCGGAGAAACTTTCGACAGTGACACAATTAGAAGCTACCGCCCATGTATGAATCCCCCGGCACCAGCTGTAGCTTCGACATCAACTCGAACTCCCCGCCTCCATCTCTCATTGACTCTTGACCATAAATAAGCATTTATGCTGAACGACCCGGCAACGACTTTCCTTTCATTTCGATTTGTTTTGGCCACCAACATCGCCTCCCCCAGACATTCGTCAATTTGTCAAAATCTTGGCGGTGTGAACGCAAATCTAAGCTTTAGGTTCACTGAGAGAAAAGATCTAATTTTCAAAACCTATTTCCTAAATCAAGAAAGATCAAAATTGAATTTAAACTAAACAATAACATATGATGTTAACCTTTTAGATATATTTCTAAATATATTCTTATAATTCCCAACTGAGAACATTATATACATTTTCCCACCTGGAACTAGCTAAGAATTATATGAATATGCAGCTGATTCTTACAATTCTCACTTAGTTCTAGGTGCTTAAAATGTACTAAATTTATTAATAACTCCCAACTAGTTCTGTGGTCTTAAAATATACAAAATGTACTAATAATTCTCAACTTATATTAAATATGAAAATAAATAGACTCAATAGAAAAGTTTAAATACTTTTCAGAACGCTAAACGACTAACCAAAACGTTTCCTCAGTCTGTCTCCGAGTTGATATGATAAATTGACCATGGACTCAAGACACTCATAAAAGACACATTTGTTCGGCTTAAATGCCCGAACACAGAGCCACTTAGTTTGCGCTGATCCGACCCACGCAAGTCCCGCATCTCCGCATCTTATAAGATCTTTGCATCTTGTGGATCTCCGCGATGGGGCGAGGGCAATGACCAGGCCAGACCAAAGGGCCGCCGCTTTCCGAGATCTATGCTCCCAGCACCAGGCTCCCAAACCCCCAGTAGTGCCTCGCTGCACTTGATTCTCCAATTAAATGGCCAGAAGCCGGAGCAGCGTGTGAACCAGAATCGGAGGCGGAAACTTAGAGAGGAGACGTGGAAGCAGCGAGGCGACTGGCGGCTTGGCAAGAAGGAAGCGGCGCAGTCAGAAGACAGGCAGTTCTTTTGATTTTATCAGCATTAAATTCCCGACTTCCTGCGACAAGGTCGGGGGCTAATTTCATTTAAGTAAATAAGTCGGCGTTTAACTGCCGGCAATTTGAAGTGTAACGGTAGTGCGAAGACCAAGATCGAGACTGAGAGTCATGTTGCAATTACACAATTTGGCTATTAACGCCTCGGCTCTCTCTGGACAGTCTCCCCTCGTGCACCTTTCACCTTGACAATGAAATGGTTTCCAATGATTGCTGTAATTTCTATTTTTGGTTTGGAGAAACCCACAAACCCAAGAAATGCAAATGAATATCTTGGGTGTTTAGTAGAGCAAAACGCCGGCTGAGGTGTGTGGGGGGTTTACTTTGTACGATCCGTACGTATACGTAATACAATACTGGCTGCGATTTCCCAGACCCGATACAGTCAGACACCTCACCGTGTATCTGTATCTCCATAATCACGGCTCATATTATGTATGCTAGCTAGCTGCCCCTCCTCTGCTATTTCCATTCGTATTTCCCTATTAT